GAAAGATAAATAAAAAAGAGCTAGCCAAGTAAGAAAGAATTAAATGCAAAATGTGATTTATAAGCTGACTCTAGTAATAATAGCATAGACTTCATTGAAAACCAAACCATTTTATTACAAATTAATGGAGGGCCAATCAGAAGTGTCCGCCCTTCATTTTTTTCCCCAGTGGCAAAACACTCAAGATTAGATTATGATTTACACATTTCTTTTCCTCCAGTTTCTCTTTCTTCCAAGTAGCTTCCTATTTCCCACGAGTATTTTGTCCATGGCTTAGGTGATATTTAATGCTGGCAAGTAACCATCTAATGAACATAAAACTAACTCATGTGAAAACATCATAATGATGACTTTTAGTATAAATTATCAGCAACATTTTATAGATATGGTCACAGAACTCAATCAGAGAATACGTTCCTTGAGCTGCCTCTAAGTGCTATTTTTTGATATTTAGGGGCAGTGATAGACAAGCTTCCTGAGACTCCAACTTGATACCCTAAGGAAACTTTCTCTTTCTTAAAGAAAACAAACTTTTAAATCTTACATGTTTCACCTTTCTGCATGTGTTTTTCTTTAAAATTTTTTTTTATTTGGAAATAATTTAAACTTAGAATTGCAATAATAAAAATAGTACAAAGATGCCTGTCAACTCAACTAGATTTGTCCACTGTTAATGTTTTACCCCATTTGTTTTATCACTTACGTGCTTGATGGCGTCAGTGTTTTTTTTCTGAACCGTGTACCTAATTGCACACATGATGTCCCCGTACCTGAGTGCGTGTCTCTTCGGATCTTCTCTTACATAACCACAGTAATCAGCTCACACAGACACCACACCTTCATTGAATGTACTATCTATATTCCAATTTTGTCCACTGACCTTTAATATCCTTTATAGCATTTCTGCCCCCCAACACAGGGTCCAGTCTAGGACTAGGAATTGCATTTAGTTGTTACTTATCTCTAGCCTCCTTTAATCTAAATATTTCCATAGTCTGTCTTTTATAATCTGCATATCTTTTTTTTTCATCTCAGATGATAGGAATCTTACTTTTTAATAAGTTATTATGCCTAGGGAAGGCAGTGGTTTCAGAAAAACAAGTTTAAGTGAATCAGAGGCATACAGTTAGGGACTAGAATTTGTTTAAGCAAATTCTCTGAGAAATAAAGTGATTTGTGAGTGGACTATGAAGGCTGTCATGCTGATGGAGGTGCCAGTCTGTGAGGTGGGCACACATTCGTAAAGAATCCCAGGAATTAAGATGTTTGGGCTGCCTTCTCCTCGGGACCTCAGGAGAGGACACACACAGTTTTCTTGAAGGCTAAAATTCCTTCCTGAAGACGCCACAGAAATTCCGACACGAGGAATGAGGTTTTGATGAGCGTATTCATAAGCTGCAGCATAAACGCCGGCCTCTGGAGCGGCTACCCACCAGGCTGCAGCGCCCCGAACAGCGTTCGCTTGATTTCATGTTAACCCCAGCCCATGTTTCAAATAAAATTCTTCCTACGACAGATACTTCTACTGAAATAGATTCAACGAGTCAAACTGATTTTCTGAAAAATTTTCATTTTAAAACCAAGAGGACCCTAAAAGTTATTGTTCTCATAAAAATGGATTATAATGGATTCCTGTATAATAATTTTTGTTTTTAATTAAGCAGGAGACACAGAACATACACACAAGAAAGGGTCACGTATAGATTACGCTTCCTCTTGAACATTCATAATATTTTCAGTCTCATTAAGTTAATTGATCTGTGGTATCATTTAAACAAATTACTACTCACCGTTCTGGCCCCCGATCACCTATCCTACTTTGTAAGCCACAGCTTCTCTCCCGCAGTGATTCTCCAGCGGGTCCCCTGCCCCACAGCCTCAGCCCCACCAGGCACTTGGTAGGAATGGGAATTCTTGGGCCCTGCCCAGATCTGAGGCAGGACCTCCGAGGGGAAGCCCAGCAATCTCTATTCTCATAAGCTCTCTGTTTGAGTTGGATGATGGTAAGGTGTGGGAACCACTTCTCCCACTGGTGCCTGGGGGCGCCATCCGTGTCCCCACTTGTCCCGATCACACTCCTCTGTTGAGAAATAACTTCTTTTGCTAACCAAATTCTACTGTCCCTTTAGGTCAGCCTGTGCCCTTTCCTCGGGAGCTTTGCTTCAGCCTCTTGGGACTGACTCCAGGTCATTTTCTGCACATTCTTGTGACTTCTGGGCAGGCCAACTCGTGATGGCAACAAAGCAATTACCACTACAGAAAACAACTGTTTCTGCGAATGTCTCACCACTCCATGAGAGAGAGGACATTTTAATGTACTGGAAAGAACGCAAAACCAGCATTAGTTAGATATGGATTTTTTTTTAGACTTGGCTTAGCTCCTAATGCATAATTAGTCATGTAATTTTTGGAAAGGAAATGAGAAATAATTTTTTAATATATTAGGATTTTTTGGGGACCAGGTTTTTGGGTGGGTTTTTTTTTTGTTTTTGTATTTTTAGACCTGTTCAAGAGGTATTCAGTTTTCTAGAATGTATTCTTCCTACTCTTGTCCCCGGCTCCCCTCCACAGCGGCAGCCACTGCAGCAGTTTCTTGTGTGTCCTTCGACACAGAGTCTATGCATATACAGTTGACCCCTGAACAAACATGGGTTTGAACTGTGCAGGTCACTTACACGTGGATTTTTTTCAATAAATATACAGGTCTTCCATACCCCCAGGTTTTGCATCCATGGATCTTAAACGGTATTTTTGATCCGTGGTTGGGAGCCCATGGGTGCAGAGGGCCAATGGTATGCATCAATCTATGCTATTCTGTAAGGGACTTGAGCATCTGGGATTTTGTATCCACAGGGTGTTCTGGAACCAGTCTCCCATGGGTACCGAGGAATAACTGTAGCTAAGTTTCTGGGGAGTCAAAAGTTATATGCGGATTTTTGACTGTACACTGGGGAAGCATCCGACCCCTGCATTGTTCAAGGGTTAACTGTACATATATGTAAGTTTGCACACATGATAGTATATTCTACACCCTTTTTGGCACCTTGAATTTTTTATTTAATATATCTTTGAGATGGTTCCACACTGATAATTTATATCTGCCTCTATAATATAGCATTGCACTGTGTGAATACCACATATCTCAACATAACCAAACATCTACTGATGTGCAAACAACTGGGTTGTTTTCAATCTTTTGTTATCCAGACAATCCAGCAGTGAATAACTCTGGACATACATTCTCTCACCTTTGTGAGATTATACCCGTAGTATAAATTCCTAAAATGGAAATGACTGTTTCAACGGTTATATGAACTTAAATTTTTAATTTTCATCTCCATAGAGGAGTGGTCCTCAAACTTTTTAGTCTCCAGAATCCTTTACACTCCTAAAAAATGAGGACCCCAACAAGCTTTGCTTATGTGGGTCACAGCTATGGGTATTTATCATATTAGAAATTAAGACCAAGAAATATTTGAATATTAAGATGAAAAGAACCATAAATCTAGTATATGTAAACATAAATAACATTTTCATGAAAATTAACTATTTTCCAAAACAAAAACATTTTGTAAGAAAAGTGGCATTATCTGGCTTAATAGAAAGAAGCTGGATTTCAATACTGCTTTTGTATTCAATCTGTTTTGGTTGACAAATATGAAAATACATAGCTGGGAGAAGTATTTGCACAGCCTTTTCAGAGAACTCAGGAGAGTCTTCCACACCACCGCCAAAGCTCAACAAGACCATTCCTTAGAGGTTAGTTGCACTGAATAACAAAGCACCACATCAATGAATTTTCCTATTAGTTAAAACCTTACACTTTGCATTTATGTCTTACCAACGTGTAACTTTGTTAAAAATCACACATCAAACATTTAGAGGATACTGGTTCACTGAGTTATGTACATATCCCAATTGTGGAAACATTTTATTACACACTATCAAAAACTCACATTTGTTAATATCACCACCAATCCCATNGCATCTGCTTATTTTTCATCAGTATTTTAATAACAATCTATAAAATGTTATGGGTTTAATCTGGATTAAATAAAAGACAATTAAGAGGAAACAGATGGAAATCAAGAGATCTAAAACTGGGTAGGCGTCTACTGAGTGCCAAGCACTTCACACGCACTGCTTCATTTCATCTTCACGAACCTCCTGTGAAGAAGACACTTACACCCAGATCCCGTATGAGGGAGGTGGGGCTCGGTACCTGACCGCTACTTGGTGAGTGTCACTCAGTCGGCCAGTTTGGCCTATCTGCAAATCCTGTCCTCTCTTATGTAGACTGAAATACAACTTTCAGATTTTGGGTGGTTTATTCTTCATTAATTAATCTTTCATATAATCTACATCAAGCTAGAAATTAAATAAAATCAGTTTGGGAACCTACTACTTGCAATTAAAAAACATATACTGGGGGTGCCAAAGAAATGTATGCACATGACTTGTATTCATCTTTTGTTATCGGTATATATTGAGTATCACAATTTTAATACAGTTTTTTCCTTTCTTAAAATGTGTTCCCATTTTTTTGGCACCCCTGTATATAGAGCAAGACTCTTTAATCCTGGTCAACTTTAGCGTCTGTTCTTATTTTTTTAGATAAGCCTGGAGGCAAGGAGGAAAAACTGGTCTCTTAAAGAGGGTTTTCTTCAATAAACCATCATGCTGACAAATTAAATGACTGTCCCCTCTCTGAACAGCTGACAGCCCAGCAGGGGCCCTGTTAACATGCACATTAGGGCAGACTGATTGGTTTAATTGGCAGTCAGGCCTAAAAACCTGCCGAGGAATTGATGCTGAGTGAATCATTCCCTTCAGCAACATTCAGCAGTTTGAATGCAGCAATGCAACCAAAGGCTTTTAAACTTGTTCTAGTTATTGTTGTAACCAACCGACCAAGTGATTACTTTCATTTTATTTTCTAAAATTGTGTGCTTTTACTGAAAGCCATCATTTAAAAATGCTTCCAAGAAAAGATTTCTTACCAAATTTTCCCATATCTCGAACTTGATGGTATTAGAGGGTGACAATGTCGTGAGGAATAAATCTAGAAGGAAAATAACAGAACTGTAAGTTGCGCTACTGATGTGTACGTTTAAAAACAGGAAGAAATGCAATACATAAAAATATTATTACTACAGTTGTACTTAAACATGTTTTAAATTATATTTTAACGAGCTTGATCCCATCAAAGGAAAGAGAGCAGATGACCCTGCATTACTACAATTAAGGAAAATGTACTGATCCTGCCAAAGCATTCAACCACTAGTAATCTGCCACACAGGGCCTCTCCGTCCCCCACAGAAAGGAGAGGCAATCAGGATAATAAGAACCGCCCCTTTCTCTCCCTGAGAGAAGTCCAGGCCCACAAAGAACCCGTTCTTTTCTTTTGCTAATAGTCTCCTTGCCCCGCCTTCTTCCTGGAGAAGCCTTCCTTTTTGTCCAACCCCTTGGAGCACCCTTCCAGGTGCTAGATGGGCTGCTGCCCGATTCATGAATCACTTTAAAAAGCCAAT